TATATATATATATATATATATATATATATATATATATATATATATATATATATATATATAATGTGCGCACTGCGTATTTATAGAGTATATATATAACGTGCGCAGTTTGTAAGGAAATTGAGTAAAGTCTATTCCCTGGAATTTAAAAAAAAAATCCGTGAAAATTCACACTGGGGTTGGTGTAATACGGAAACTCTCAGAGATTTTTTGGTAATTACGCATAGGTGAATGTGGTTTTTGTAATTTAATCTAAGTTTAGAGGATTTTGTAATTTACCATATATATATATATATATATGTATATTAATATTTACTTGGACCAGTCATGTAGGCTCAAATAACACTTTGTCTACAATTTAAAGAACTGCTTTTAAAGCTGAAACCCAATCAAATGCCTCCACCTGTTGGCCCATATACTCTATTATTATAATATAATAAATAAATAATAATAACAATAATAATAATTTCCTACGTGAATCAACCCCATTGGAGCATACTGGAGATTCCAACATTGCCAGCCGGTTCCTTCGATGCTACACCCGGTGAAAAACACCGGGTGTAGCATCGAACAAATCATTGCCAGCCAATTACTTGAAACAAGTGCCTTTCTGCCCACATGCAAAAAAGACAAAAGTATACAAAAAAATAAGGAACTTATATAATGGGCAAGTAGCACCGCGCATTCCGCGGTGCACCCATCCCTAGTATATATATATATATATATATATATATATATATATATATATATATATATATATATATATATATTTCATCTAGATCATCAAGAAGGAAAAACCTTGTTCAAATAACCATGGAGTTATATCCAATTTACGCTACTTTCCTCCTACTAATTATCCCAACGCTCGTGTTTTTGTTGCTGAAGAGGAACAACTCTATGCAGAAAAGGCTTCCACTACCGCCCGGTTCTTTAGGGTTACCGATAATCGGGCAAAGCCTCCAAATTTTCCGAGCCATGAGGGCAAACAGAGGTGAAGATTGGATTAGAGAAAGAATCCGAAAATACGGGGCCGTTTCGAAACTGAACGTTTTCGGAAGCCGCAGTGTGTTGCTCCACGGGCCCGCGGCGAACAAGTTCATATACACGTGCGACGAGAAGGTGCTGTCCAATCAGCAGCCGGCATCGGTGAGGCGGCTGATGGGAGAGAGGAATTTACTCGAATTGAACGGCGAAGATCATAAGCGCGTGAGAGGGGCAATGTTGTCATTCTTGAAACCGGAAGCTTTACGACAGTCCGTTGGGAGAATGGATCAAGAGATAAGATTCCACCTCAAGCATCATTGGCATGGCAAACACGAAATTTTGGTATGTTTTAAATATTTCCAAAACACCCCCCTATGATTCAATTTATTACCATGTTACCCCCTAAAAAAGTCATTAATTACCCCTCTTAAAACATAACATTCTTGATTTTTTTTTTTCAAGGTAATGCCTCTTATGAAAACCTTGACCTTCAATGTGATATGCTCACTCATATTCGGAATCGAGAGGGGAATTAGGAGAGAGAGGCTAGTGTACTTATTCGAGCTATTGATCGACGGAATGTTGGCATTGCCGATAAACTTGCCTTTCACGCGGTTCAGCAGAAGCCTCCGTGCGAGGTCGGAGATCGGAGACATCATCTTGGAACTTATACGAGAAAAGAGGCAGCAGATGGAGAAACAAGAAACCCTAGACAATCACCAAGATCTCATCACTAGATTTCTAAGCATGACCGATGATGACGTGGCGAATCCGTCGCCTCTACTGTCTGACGAGGAGATTGTGGACAATTGTAGCATCGTAATGATTGCAGGGCACGACACAACTTCGGTCCTCCTTACTTTCTTGATCAAACTCCTGTCGGAACATCCACATGTTTACCAGACTGTCCTTAACGGTAGGTCGTCATCCAGTAAAAATCGATCTTGCAATGGGCAAAATTGTCTTTTTTTTTAATAATAATAATTATTAATATTTTTTTTTCGGTGTAGAACAAGAGGAGATTGCAAATAGGAAGGGATCTCTCGAAGAGCCTCTCACGTGGGAAGATCTAGCGAAGATGAAGTACACATGGAAGGTAGCAACCGAGACACTGCGAATGAATCCACCGCTATTTTGTTCTTTCAGGAGAGTCGTTCAGGATTTCGAAATAGGAGGATACACAATTCCCAAGGGATGGCAGGTGATTGAATTTATTCACTGATAAATAAATTAAACAAACAAGAATTCTTATATATATAGATCTTGTTCTGCACGAAACAGGTTTTTTGGACAGCATTCATGACGCATATGGATGAATCCATATACCCGGATCCATCAACTTTCAACCCGGCCCGGTTCGACAACCAAGGAGCAACGCCACCTTATAGCTTCATGGCGTTCGGTGGAGGGCCGAGAATGTGCCCGGGATATGAATTTGCGAGAATCGAAACACTAACCATGGTCCATTACTTGGTTACTCGATTTCGGTGGAAGCTCTCTTTAGAAGAGAATCTATTCGGTAGAGCTCCTTTGCCGTTTTTCCATCAAGGGTTGCCTATACAAGTCAAGTTCAAGAAGCCTCTTGATGATGATGATGTAATAATGTAAACTCTGTCGTGTACGACACGTACGACTGGGAAATTTTAAATAAATAAAGAATCATAAATAAATCGGGATCTTTCTTGTTTCACAGACCATATGCAGTAGTTTTAACCTGTATATCTACATCTTCAAGGGAGACCCGTCGATACCAATCAAGATCATCAAGAAACCGTGTAAAACGAAGATAATTGTGAACAGAGAATGAATTATTGTAGTTGACTAATAGCAATTAAAAATAGAGTAGAGAACACTTTGCCCCCCGAAACCCGAAACCCCCCCTAAACTAATGCTCGTTTTGCACTTAGCACCCTAAACAAAAAAAAAAAAAAATTTGCATGTTCTTACACGAACTCCATTTTTTGTTGCATGGTGCCTCAAAAATAGGATTTTAAGGCCATTTTGATCGGAATCTTACACGCGTGCTTTTCACGTGAGTTTTAAAGGGGCAATAACGTCAATTCACTTAGATTCTTCATAAATTAGAAAAAAAAGAAAGGGTTGATCCACACCATTTCGAAACCAGTTTCTTCTTCATCCAGATCAGCCGAGGCGGCGCGGACGAGACCCCCTCTCCCCTCTCGAAATCAGTTTCTCCTCCCGTTCGCTGATTCTCTCTCTAGAGAACACCGTCGGAGTTGGGTGGCATGGCATATATGCTTCCGCCGCACAGTACGGTGGCTAATGCAAGGATGGCGTCACATTAGAAAAGAGCCCTCGGGCTTGGGCTGAATAGACGTTTTTGCCCCTGTAAAACTCACGTGTGTAAAGATTCCGATCAAAATGGTCTGAAAATCCCATTTTTCAGTCACCGTCCAACAAAAAACGGAGTTCGGGTAAGAACGTGCACCCGTTTAGGCATTAGTTTAGGGGGCAAACAACTTATTAGATCTTAAATTTAAGATCTAATAAGATCTAGAGACTACTAATTTGGGTAATTAAAACCTAAAACCAGTTTTTCCAAGAACCTAGTTTACTAGAAGAGATTCTTCTAGAAAATGCATTACAAACACCATAACCAAACTGGAATTAAATGCACGAAGAACTTGTAGTTTGCCCTTCAGGGCAGTCTGCAGATGTTTAATTCATACACAAATTCAACCACACTAAGTATTTAAGAAAATTTCAAGATTCAAATATAAAACTGGCTGAAAGTCACACCAAACTACTCGACATTCAATCTGATATCATTCGTTAATTAAAAGCTCATTTGAGCTCAATTTGCTATCATAGGACGATATACAACTCGGCTTGAGCTACAGACTAGAAGAAAAACGATAAACTATGTACGTCAATCAAGTTACTCGAGATCGATTCGATCATATCCAGCTCGATTAAAGTTCTGTATTATAATGTTGACTTGAACTCGAGCTTATTTTGAAAAATAAAATTTCTGTATTTTTTTTATTTCTCGGTTTTTATGTTCATCTACAGTCTACACACAAATTAGTTGACTAGAAAGTCAAGGAATAGGGAACTGTTAGAGGAAATAATTTTATTTATTATGTAATATACGTATCAATTACATATTTATACTACATATTCAATGTACGCAATTTTCGGATTTAATTAAGCCCTAATTAGATGATTTGATTAGATTTAATCATTTAATCAAGCCTTAATTGTAGTGATTAATTAGATTAGATGTAATACATAACAAAAAAATTAATATTCTTCTTCATTTAATTGTTCCACCATTTTTACAGGAACGAATTAAATACCTTGAGAAAATTAAAATAATAAGAATGATGAACAAATAAGACTAAAATAAAAGGCAAAACGGATCATTAACAATAAAATTAAATGTCATCCTTCATCATTTCAAAGAAAAATATGTGTGTGTGTGTAATAAGTACGTACGTAGATGATCCATGCATGCATAAGAGAATTACATATTCACTAAATTAGGGTTTATATAATTTGCCACGGCACATGCACTTCCACACGACGCCGTAGTAATCTTGGGTGGCCGCACCGGAAGTAAACGCCGCCACCATTGATGGCGGCACCGCTACCTGAACCCTCTTACATGGCTTGCATTTCCGGCACTTATGTACGCAACTAGGCGGAACTGAATCCAGCAAAAGGCTCCTCGGAATCAATTTCCCGACGGAAAGAGTTTCTTTTTCCGAGCAAGAAACTACGCAGATCAGAAGAAGGAAGAAGAAGATTAAAGAGAAAAGTTTCATCTTTTGCGAAAATTATATATTTTGATTTTTTTTTCAAGAAGATATATTAGATTTTGTTTGTACGGAGATATATATAATATGTGCGAAGTGTGTATTTATAGAGTGTATATAATGTGCGCAGTTTGTAAGGAAATTTTGTAAAGTCTATTCCCTGGAATTTAAAAAAAAAATCCGTGAAAATTCACACTGTGAGGGGTTGGTGTAGGTCGGAAACAAACCTCAGGGGTTTTTTGGTAATTAATAATAAGTGGAGGTGGTTTTTATAATTTAATCTAAGTTTAGGAGGGTTTTGTAATTTACCATGTATATACATATATATGTATATAAATATTTGGGCCTTTAAATAGGCCTATAATAATAATTTACTTGGACCAGTCATGTAGGCCCAAATAATACTTTGTCTACAATTTAAAGAATTGCGTTTAAATCTGAAGCCCAATCAAATGCCTCCACCTGTTGAGGGTATACTCTATGATTATAATATAATAAATAATAATAATAATAATAATAATAATAATAATAATAATAGTAATTTCCTACGTGGATCAACCCCATTGGAGCATACTGGAGATTCCAACATTGCCGGCCAATTACTTGAAACAAATATGCTTTTTTGTCCACATGCAAAAAGACAAAAGTATGCATCCAAAGAACAATATATATACGTATGTATATATATATATATATATATATATATATATATATATATATATATATACATCTTCATTTTTATCTATGATTATAATCATGGAATCTGCTGTATACACTACCATCTTTCTTGTGTTTCTCTCTCTTTTGTTCTTGTTGCTAATTATTATTAGCAAGAAGAAAAAGTCTCTAAAAAGACTTCCACCCGGTTCTTTCGGTATACCGATAATCGGACAAAGCCTCCAACTCTTGCAAGCAATGAGAGACAACAAAGGTGAAGATTGGATCAAAGAAAGAATCCGAAAATACGGGCCCGTTTCGAAACTCAACGTTTTCGGGAATCGAAGTGTATTGCTCCACGGTCCCGCGGCGAACAAGTTCATATACACGTGTGACGAAAAGGTGCTTGCCAATCAGCAGCCAGCTTCGATACGGAGGCTAATGGGAGAGAAGAATATACTGGAATTAAATGGGGAAGATCATAAGCGCGTGAGAGGGGCAATGTTGTCATTCTTGAAACCGGAAGCGTTGAAACAATCCGTCGGGAAAATGGATCAAGAGATAAGAATCC